TATATATATATATATTCTAATTAAGTATTTTTTTATATTATACACCACATAAAATTATTAGCAGAATTCTGTTCTGAATTCCGAATTATGAATTATATATTATTAGTCTAAAATGGACTTTCAGTGGACAAGAAACGGAAAAGATATTTTTCGAAAAGTAGCTCAACGCGCGTCGTCTTCACTTTTGCGTTTACTTTCTTGCGTTTGATTCTTTTTTCTTTTTTTCCCTTCCTGTTTTCCCTCGAAAAATCGTCGCTTTCGCTTTTCCGCGTCAATATCGCGAATGAGGGAAAGGATTGTAGATCTCGTATCTCTGCGGTTTGCCGAGATATTACATGATACGGATGGGATAATATATTATAGAACGTAACGCATTTTCCCTTTATACAGTCCGAACTATACTGTTTACTTTGGGACGACCTTAACAGGATAGAGCTCTCGCTCTCGCAACGGTAATTAGATTTTTCTGAGCGCGGCTAAAGTTCACGTTGAACTCAAGTACACGTCGAACTCGAGTACATGCCATTTCGTCGCATATGAAGCTCGTAATCCAGCCTATCTTTTATCACATTACATCTTTCCTCTCTATAATTTTCTGTTTACTCGCATTTTATGTCTCTACATTCACATACACAGCTAAGCGAAATGCACTCTTTTTTTCGAATACGATAATGCAAAGTTAATAACACGAGAAATATAATTTCTCGTTTGTGTGACAATGAGAGAAAAATAACGTCTATATCGTGCGAAATTATGCAAATAAGAAGAACGACCGAAGTAATTGCTACATGTCAAGTTCGACTCGGAGAGATGGAAATTCTCGTTACAACCAGAATGCCCGCAATCTGCAGTTGCGATAGATTGGCGAAATCGTATAGAATTTCCGTTACGTGAAATGTATGTATGAGATATTTCCCTCATTCATGATGTGTCCCTTTCGATGAAGCCTGAAGTCGCTTTCCGTCCTCGCAAAAATTTTTTTTTTAACACAGGACCTTTCGCGTTAATCGCGACTGTAATCTCGCGATCTTTTCTTCGTGGTCAAGCAGGTCGACCGCGTTTTTCCCGTCCGAAACATCGTTTACGTCGACAGATAGGAATTAGGTGGGGCGAGGAAGGAGATAGATAGTTGGGAGAGGCGGCGTGTTTATTTGTTCGTCTTCCTGAATGTCCGTGCATCGGTCCATGGCGAGCTGACCGCTTATCTGCCTGCCTACCTACGTATTTTCCTTTCACGTGCTCGATCTTGTCCGCGCGTCGGTGCTTGTGCCGCAACAGTTATCGCACGTATGCCATACGACACTGGTGAAATTGGGTCATTCGGTACAAACCGACCATACGAGCCGTTATCTCGTTGCATTAGCAAGGCCGTATCAAACTGCGCCCGCTCGCTCGCTTGCTCGCTCGCGCGGGTGCGAGCGGACACCGCACGCTTCAAGCATCAGATGTTAGACATTACGCTTCATTAGAATATGTATCTCAGGTTGCTGAATATGTACCTGCGACGGATGCGCGTCTCAGTATAACGGAAGCGAGAATGCGACACGGACTGTGTAAAAAGAAGAGAAGAATGTCTATCGTTTCGAGTGAATACACACGTGCGAGATAGCGTGATAAAGAATGCTGATTAAATACGATCGTTTCGAAACTGTAATGCCGTGTCGATTGCTACTGAATACCCGCTCTCACGGGTATTTTCTCTGTATTGAAGAAAAATGCCTGGCTGGATTCATTGGAATTTTGATTGATTGAAAATGGACGAAATCTAAATTTTCTGGTTAAATCTACTAAAAGTTCAATTAAGATAATAGATTGATGCAATCTTCTGATTTGTCCATCTTTAACCAGACATTTTTCTCAGTGTGCGAAATGTGATTCTTATTCGAGTTTATTCGTTTCATTCGTAAGAAGAAGATATGATTGTTTTCTAGATTAAATTTCTGGATTAAATTTACGCACAATGGAAACTATCCGCTATTCGGAAACTTTTCATACTTTTGCCATTCTTCGTCACGGTAAACCGCACAATTGTGGGCGGGAGAATGAGTTTCCACGCTTCAACCGCAAAGTATTTAAACATTCGCGACATTGGCCATTTATACGAACAATGTAACAATTACGTTATTCTTGTAATGAGGGACACGGAGAAAAAAAGATATTACATTTATATTACATTTATATGTAGTTTAATTTTAATCTCGATTCAACTAACTCTTCATCGTTTTCTAATTCTAAGAATTAGAAAAAGATGATGAGTTAGTTGAACCGAGGTTAAAGTTAATCCACATTGGTAGAAACGAGTATTATAGAGTTATAGCAAAACGGTACACGCAGTTTTAGAGAGCGAGTAAAAAAGAACGAACGCTTTTATGATGTTAACGATATGAATCGCAATTTAAAAAAGAAACATTAAAGTACGCAAAAGATCAAACCGTATAATTAACACACTCGGTATTTTTTTGTCTGTCTGTCTCTCTCTCTCTCTCTCTCTCTCTCTCTCTCTCTCTCTCTCTCTCTTTCTCTCTCTCTCTCTCTCTCTCAAGTTGATAATTGCGGCTTTTTCTTTTTTTTTTTTATTCGCATCCGTTCCTCACTGTGTCATCTTTCGTCTTTATATAATTTTTTTTCATATTTTTTATATTAATTTGATTTGTTTTTGTTGTATTATTTTCATTAATTGCATGTTTCTGTTTTTACATTTTTCTTCTGTTTTAATGTTCTTAGAGGACTTGCCCTAGACAGCAACAATAAATGCATCTATCTATCTATCTATCTATCTATCTATCTATCTATCTATCTATCTATCTATCTATCTATCTATCTATCTATCTATCTATCTATCTATCTATCTATCTATCTATCTATCTATCTATCTATCTATCTATCTATCTATCTATCTATCTATCTATCTATCTATCTATCTATCTATCTATCTATCTATCTATCTATCTATCTATCTATCTATCTATCTCAAACACGTTTCTCTCTGTCTCGTTAGCAATTCGTTGCACGTTAAAGTTATAGGCGAGTATGAATAATTTCACCATTAATGAGCAACTCGCGAGAGCAACGAGCATTAATTTACTTGCGCAAATAAAACGAACATTCACGGATCGATACGCATGCGTTTGTTTCGGCAATTTGTCGGACTAACGAGACTGAAAGGAAAGCGCGTGGCGGTCAACTGTACACAAAAGCGTCGTGTAATTAGCAATGGATATGAACACCGGAGCGACGGAGAAAAAGATAGAATAGAGAAAGAGAATACCTTGATGGATCTTGTAAAATCGTTCGCGTTTCACGTCTTGCGTCCGCGCGACACATAAAGGATTTCGCGCGATTCAAAAGCCGAAGCAGAAGACAAAGAGAAAGAAGACGAGAGAAATTCGCGCGGCGATTCGCGTCAACGCCACTGACGACGTAACCGTCTAACGGATCTTTTGGCTTAACGCATTGCGTAGCCCTTTTCCTCATTGTAATCTCCCGTGGTTCGTCGCATCATTTGCCACAACGACTAGTCGGAGGCTGCCGTAATGCGCGAGACATCAAAGAAATGCGTCATGTGCGTCCCTTTCTTGCCTTTACAATAATATTTGAAAATTGCATGCAGAAACTACTTGTGATTGATTGATTTTGAAAGGGAATCGAAATAATAATAAGGCCTAGATTCATCAATGTAAGATTAATCTCAGCTGGATTTTACTGTTTATCTTTTTCTAATTTTAAGAGTTCTACCAAGATTGTAGATTAACTTTAATTCTTAATTTTTAATTCTTAGAATTAGAAAAAGATAGTTGAATTGAAATTAAGAAAAATGGTCTGATTGGATTAAATAATAATTCTGATGGAAAATGGACGAATCAGAATTTTTTTGTTAAATTTATTAGAATTCTAGTTGAGATAATTAGAATTCTGATTAATATAATTATTCTGATAAAAATAAGAATTCTAGATTTTATCAAAATGTTGTATTAAACAGAATTCTGGTTATCTCAACTAGAATTCTAATAAATTTAATCACAAAATTCTGATTCGTCCATTTTCAATCAGAAATTTTTTTCAGTGTACATTGATATAAACAGGCATAAAAGAAGTAGAAAAAAAAGAATAAATTGAATCGAGATTAAAATTGATCTTATATTGGCAGAATCGGGCCTAAAACGTATGAAAATAAAGGCAAATTCTTTTCCCTAATGGAAAATCGGCTTATTTGATGAACGATCCATCAAAGGATAATAATATATTATCGTCTTCTTCCCCCTTTTCCAAGAAGGAACGAGCAATATTCGTAATAAGAAAGAGGATGATACCTTATAAGAAGGAAGGAAGGCACGATTATCTAGAATAAGACATTTAATAATGAATACACCCACCGGCTCGATTCACATCGGTAGCGCCCGGTAGTTGGACACGTAGATTGTAACGGAAGTACGAAGAGCAAAGTGATCGGAATGTTGTACCTTCGCTTCGGCGGCGGAATCATCGATGTCGAACGAACATTGTCCGTAAAAAAAAGAAACATAAATAATGAGGAACGCGCGTCTGCGATGTACTTTCCCGTTTTTCTCAATCCAGTTAATTTGTACACCTGACGACGTTGCGAATTTGTAGACACGAAATATCATTTATATA